AGAGAGAGAGAGAGAGAGAGAGAGAGAGAGAGAGAGAGAGAGAGAGAGAGAGAGAGAGAGAGAAAGAGAGAGAGTTTTCCATCCATAGGATGAACAACGCACGGACAAACTGGTAACTCTCCACGCACGCTACTTCCATAGATAGGACGAGCAAAATCGAATTAATATCCCGCCAGAACACATAAATATACAATTGTTATGATCCTGGACAATTTCGAAATATACAAACATCAGAAACTACAATACCGTGCAATTCCATAAAGAAATGAATGACCTTGAGAGGAGAGAGAGCTCTGAGAGGGAAAGAAGAAGAAGAAGTAAGAAAGAAGAAGAAGATGATGCACTCCAGCATAGACCAATGACAAGGCTCTGCTTCCTCGCCAACCAATCTCCTCCTAGGCTACTCCTTATCTCCTCCCTCTCTATTCAAACAAGAAATAACAATAATAATGTTCAATGGCTGAACAAGGATCAATGTCCGAATCGCACTTCTACTGCAAGCACAACATGAGGTCCACCATAGCCATGACCACCCTTCCTTTTCCTCAACATACAGGTCGAGCCTATGGTGGAGTACTGAGAGCTCTCTCTCCTGTCCAGAGGACAACCCAAAGCAGCTATGTCGCTGCCCTTCTGTGCCCAGGTCAACTCCCTTCAGCTATGTCGCTGCCTACTCAACCGTCATGCCTAACTCTGTCCCGAGCTTCCTTGATGCGGCACTACTCCCACTGGGCCTTCTCGATGCAGCGCCTAACAAGGTGATGAAGATGGTGTCTACCATAACCAGGTAAGTACCCCACCACTCTCCTACTTGGTCCCCTCCTCTCTCCTCCTCCTACCGGTAGAGCTCCACCATAGCCAAGGTGGAAGCTCCCGACTTCTTCCTCCCAACAGCGATGTAGTACCCAACGCCACTCCAGCCAACACTCCAGCAGAATGTCGCCAAACTTGCACACTGAAGAATGAGGCCGAGCTCTTGCCTCGGCCTCTTGATATAGCGTCGTGCTTGCCTATTGGGCGGTGACTTCCAGGCCGCTCAGCCTCCCAAGCAACCGGTACATCCTCCCTTTCGAAGGGAAACATCATTGCAAACTCTGATATTGCCCGTACAGGCTCTAGACTCAGACTGGTAGCGGCCTAGACCTAGACTACCGCTACTGGGCCTCTAAAAATGCCAACTTTTTCTTATTCTGCTCGGCCTCGAGTACCCAGCACATCTACTTCTACTGGGTGCGGTACTGGCCTACCTGCTACTTGAGTGTTTTTCCGCTGCTCTAAGCACCGCGGGCCCCTGGCTCCTCTTCTTGAGTGTTTTCCCTGCTGCAACCCTCAATGTCACGGCCACAGGTAAGTACCGGCCCTACGGGCCTGCCAAACAAGCAAGTACCCTTGCGGGTCACACACACAC